TGCCAGGGTGGAATAGTGGTTAACTGTTCACACTCTGGGTTGTGGGTTTGAATCTTTTTTAAAAATTAAGATAACATTCACATACCTTAGTTTCACTACTTTGAAGTGTACAGTTCAGTGGTCTTTAGTATAATCACAAAGCTGTGCAATCGTCACCACTAATTCCTAAACATTTTCATCATCCCCAAAGGAAAACCCATATGCATTAACAGTCACATTCCATTTCCTCCACCCCCCACCCAGGTCCTTGAGAAATACTAATTTTCTTTCTGTTCTTATGAGTTTGCCTATTCTGGGCATTTCCTATAAAGGGAATCATATAATCTGTGACCTTTTGTAACTAACTTCTTTCACTTAGCAAAATGTTTTCAAAGATCATCCATGTTGTAGCATGTATCAGTGGTGGTGGTTTAGTCGCTCAGTCATGTCTGACTCTTGCAATGCCATGGACTGTCACCTGCCAGGCTCCTCTGTCCATGGGATTCTCCAGGCAAGAATACTGGAGTGGGTTGCCATGCCCTCCTCCAGGGGATCTTCCCAACCCAGGAATCGAACCCTGGTCTCCTGCATTGCAGGCAGGTTCTTCACTGACTGAGCTGCAAGGGAAGCCCCGCATGTATCAGTACTTCATTCCTTTTCTTGCTGAATTATATTCCATTGTATGGATATACCACTTTTGTTTATCTGTTCATCATTTGAGGGACATTTGGGTTGTTCCCACTATTATTGTGATTAATACTGCTATGAACATTTGTGTACAAGTTTTTAGGTGAGCATGTCTTCAGTTCTCCTGGATCGTATGGTAATTCATTTAGCATTTTGGGGAACTGTCAAACTATTTTTGCTGCATAATTTTACATTCCCACCAGCAATGTATGAGGGTCCCAGTTTCTTCATGTCCTGGCTGACATTTGCTATTTTTTTTATTCTGGCCATTTTAGTGTGTTTGAAGTAATATTATAGCTATTCTAGTGAGTGTGAGGTGGTATCTCAGTGTGGTTTTGATTTGTATTTCCCTAATGGCTAATGATGTTGAGTACCTTTTCATATACCAACTGATCATTTGCATATCTTCTTTGGAGAAATGTCTATTCAGATGCTTTGCCATTCTGTATATTTCTAGATACTAGACCTGTATCACATATTTGATCCACAAATATTTTCCCATTCTGTGAGTTGTCACTTTTTTGGTGATGTCATTTGTAGTACAGAAAGTTTTAAATTTTGATGAAGTCCAATTTATCTGTTTTGTTCTTCAGTTGCATATTTGCTGCCATCTAAGAATCCCTTGCTTAACCTACATTCATGAAGATTTACACTTATGTTTCCTTCCAAGAGTTTTATAGTTTCTGTGCTTACATTTAGATCATTGATCTATTTTGAGTAAATTTTTGTGTATAGTGTGAGGTAGATCTCTAACTTCATCCTTTGGTGTGTGGGCAACTGGTTTTCCCAAAGCCACTTGCTTGAAAAAAATTACTGTTTCACTGTTAAATGGTTTTGGAACCCTTATCAAAAGTCAGTTGACCATAAATATATGAGTTTATTTCTGGACTCTCAGTTTTATTCTGGGTTTTAATCTCCACTTTGCTACTTGCAAACAAGTGTGACCCTGGACAAGTTACCTTTTTTGTTGTTTTAATAATAATACCTGCCTTTTAGAGGGCTGTTGTGAAAATTAAATGAGATAATGCCTATAAAGGGTATTATTTACTGCCTCACACGTGGCAAATGCATAATTGCTTTTAAGGGGAAAGGTTCTGGGGTAGTCAGATAGGTAGGGAAAATGGGAGATAGGTTGAAAGGATGCTGAAATACTAGGAAAGACCAGAAAAAGGTCTCTCATAAATGAGAGATGAGATGAACAGATATTTGAAAAAGTTGAAAAAATACCTAATTCTCCCAAATTGTAATAAAACAGAGTAGAAAGAGTTTTGGGGGAGGCAATGGCACCCCACTCCAGTACTCTTGCCTGGAAAATCCCGTGGACGGAGGAGCCTGGTAGGCTGCAGTCTATGGGGTCGAGAAGAGTCGGACACGACTGAGCGACTTCACTTTCACTTTTCACTTTCATGCATTGGAGAAGGAAATGGCAACCCACTCCAGTGTTCTTGCCTGGAGAATCCCAGGGACAGTGGAGCCTGGTGGGCTGCTGTCCATGGGGTCACACAGAGTTGGACACGACTGAAGCGACTTAGCAGCAGCAGCAGAAACAGTTTAATAGAAAAAGTTACTTACCATAAGCAACAGACTGTAACCATTTTATATTATTCTGTATAGACCTGCAATCAGTTCAAGTAGTTATTTTAGAGCACTGATGTTTGGCTTTTTTGTCAAGGACTCTTTTTCTTTTTGGCTGCAGCATGCTACAGGTGGAGGCTTAGTTCCCCAACCGGGGATCAAACCCATGCCGCACCCCTACATTAGAAGTGCAGGGTCTTAACCCCTGGACTACCAGGGAAGTCCCTTCTGTCAAAGACTCTTTTGAAAACAATTCAAATGCTACGGGCAATCTGCTCCCCATGAAAGTGGATATGTGATCTACACAGCATTCTTTAAACATTTCTAGAAGGTTCAGAAATCCCTGGTCAGATATCCTATTTTGACCTTATCCAAGGCAATCCTGATTCATAGCATGCTTTCCTAAGCTTAATTTCATAGTGACATTCCAAGTGTCACATTTAGTCAGGAACAACTTTTTGGGTTGCAGGAAAATTCAGAGTTTTTCCTCTGTACTGAGGAATTTATATGGCACGTTCCTAAGATTTAGAGAAGTTGTGGTACACCAGTTGTTTTTGTAAAGGTTTCAACACAGAAACAGGCCTATCAGCAATGCTTTTGACCACCTATCATTTTGGCGGGAGGCCTTACTCCATTCTCCCAAGTAGCTTCCAGCACAGACCCTGAGGAATGCAGACCTGCAGTTCTGGAAGAGAACACAATAGAAATTCAGAGTGAGGTGGAGATGGGCCTAGAAAGAATAGATGTGATTCTGAAAGAGACTAGGAGTGAGAGGCAGATTCAGAGAAACTCAGAGGGACATAGCCTCAAATAGAAGTGGAAACATGCTGTCTAGAAACCCTCTTGTAAATAGTCAAGATATTTGTCAAGTGAAGGAGGTGAGATGATTAAAATAAAGGTGTAGGGGAAAGAGCACAGACATTGGCATTAGACTGCTCCAGTGATCTGGGTATGTAGGTTCCTGGTTCATTTACTTAACAACGCTGAGGCCCAGTTTCCTAACCATAGTATGTGTATAGCATTAGTACATTCTGTACAGCCTTCTTGATAGAATTTAATGAAATACTGTGTGTAAAGTTCCTAACAAGGTACTTAGAATACAGGAGGTGCTTAGTAAACACTAGGTCCCTTCTTTAACTTCCTCTACTTTAAGGAATCTTTCATTTAACAATTTTTGAATAACCAGTGTGTGTGAAGCACTGTGCTGTGATTAAAAATATGACATAGTTAATGTCTGCAAGGAGAGTTAGCTGGAGACACAGATACATGTATTAAATAAAACAGAGTGATAAACATGTAAATGAGAGAACTCCTGGGTTTCTCGGCTTGGATGATGATATTCAACAGATAGGGAAAATTGGAAGAGGGGCAGGTGTTTTGTGTTGTGGGGCTGGGTAGAATATCAAGTTCATTTATGGACATGTTGAATTTGAGCAATGGAACTACCAAAGGCAGTATTCCTGCCTTGAGTGAAAGTTGGGATCTATCATCTCTAAAGTCTCTTCCAATCCTAAAATTCTGTGATATATGTATATTTTAATTGTTTTACTTTTTCATCTTTATCGGTGAATGCAGATAGATGTTATAAGCTACAAAATACTAGCCAACAACTTTTAAGCACTTGTGAATTGTAAAATAAGAATAGCACACATCTCTTTTTAAAAAGGTGGTTATGCAAACATCTAAACTTATTAAACCAACTGAGAATGTTTTACAATAAAATTCTTCACTTTTACAGTTCAGTTTCCCATAGATTTCCATTAAATAGCTGGTTAGTTCAGTGCACTTAAAACATTTGATTTAGAAATAGCTTTTAGGGATACATTTATTGTACTTGGGGACAACATGTAATTGTACTCAATAGTTAAGTGTCCTGTGAGAGGGCTATGCAGATATCTCTGACAGATGACAAAATCTGAACAAATACCAATGGCAGAATCAAACCATCAAGCCCTGATGAGACTCTCTAGTAATAGCAAAATGATGAACAAAAGTTATTCAGAACCAAAAATGCCTTTCTCTTTTCATAAATCAGATTCCCACTTTAAGCCAACAAAATTCCATAATTTTTATACTTTAATATTTTTCCTCTTTGTCTCTAGTAACTCAGTTTGCTAAAAATGGTATGGAATAGAAATTTCCATGTGTGGTAATAGGAAATAATTCAAGGTCACCTATCTGAAGAAATAATTATCCTGCACTGAGAACTACATTTTTCGAAAGCTCTTCTTTTTTTTACAGTCTCTTAGAATGGTATCATTCCAAGAACCAGAGAGTTAGGTTGAAATATGGCCTTGTTTTCCTTTCACTAGATGTGAAATAGGAGCAGCTTGGAAGTAAAATAGAGAACACTACTGGAGAATGGAGATTGAGAATTTGGCAGGGCCTCAGACGCATCATAGTCCAGGACAAGAGATGTCAGTGGAGAGGGTCTGTGAATAGGAATGTGAGTTGGTAAACCCGGATTCAGAGGTGGCACTAGCTTCTATTTATTAGTGCAGGAAAATAAGCCCAGGCATTTGTCAGAAATAAGGTTTCAAGGGGGAGAATAGCTTTCTGATTAATTCCCAACTCGCTTTCCTAGTGCGCCAGCATCCATGGGGAATCCAGCCTGTAAAGCCTCCATGGGTTAGTGTGTAATTATGTTACATCCACATTTCCTTTGGAAATGCTTAACGACTTCTTGCTTTGTGTTCCTTGCAGGTGAAAGCCCAGCCTCTGCGGTTCTTAATGCCTCAGCAGGATTATTTTCACTAAAGATGGAAACACTGGAGTCTGAATTGACCTGTCCAATCTGTCTAGAGTTGTTTGAAGACCCCCTTCTGCTCCCTTGTGCTCACAGCCTCTGCTTCAGCTGTGCCCATCGCATCTTGGTCTCAAGCTGCAGCTCCGGTGAATCCATTGAACCCATTACTGCTTTCCAGTGTCCTACGTGCAGGTATGTTATCTCACTGAACCACCGGGGCCTGGACGGCCTCAAGAGAAATGTGACTCTGCAGAACATTATTGACCGCTTCCAGAAGGCTTCCGTCAGTGGACCCAATTCCCCAAGTGAGAGCCGCCGAGAGAGGACTTACAGGCCCAGCAGCGCCATGTCTAGTGAGCGAATTGCGTGCCAATTCTGTGAGCAGGACCCCCCAAGGGATGCAGTGAAAACGTGCATCACTTGTGAGGTCTCCTACTGTGACCGTTGCCTGCGGGCTACACACCCCAACAAGAAACCTTTCACCAGCCACCGCCTGGTGGAACCAGTGCCAGACACGCATCTTCGAGGGATCACCTGCCTGGACCATGAAAATGAGAAAGTGAATATGTACTGTGTATCTGATGACCAATTGATCTGTGCCTTATGCAAACTGGTGGGGCGTCATCGAGACCATCAGGTCGCATCCCTGAATGATCGGTTTGAGAAGCTCAAGGTAAGGGATCTGGAAGACACATCTTACACAACTGTCTCTTTACACATAGTTATATACAGTCAGCAAGTTCCCTAATAAAATCAGTCACTTTTCCTATATGATAAGAATGATTTAACTCCAAGTTCTTTTCATAAGAAATAGCCTTCTAACCTGCAAGCTCTCACTGTAGCCTGTTTCATCTTTTGCACAAACCTGCTTGCATTCATTCATCTCTGGCCAGTTCTGGGGGATTTAGCCCATGGCCCACACTAATAGTCTGCCCAGGGAAACAGCGCCCTCTCTCCTCTGACAATGACATATTATACCCTGTATATCTCTGCCATGATCTTTCCACATCTTCTTTTAAGTATGTGAGCACCTGTGTAGATGTACTGCAATTAGCATATGTGCTGATTTGCATAATTGTGCATATAGCAATGGGAAGGTTGGGTGTGTCTCCATGTAGATGTGGGTGGAGGTGTCTGAGTGTATCTACTTAGGTAAGAGGTTTTCATGGAGGACAGTACTGTATGTGTTATACACTAGAGAAGTAAAGCTTTGGCACTGACCACTACAAATTGCTACCAAGCCCTTAACAAGGTGGCTAATTCTAAATTTGCCTTAAAAAACAAAGCAAACAGACAAAAACGGGACTTCAGTGTACTATGAAGTCAGGAGGGATCATCAAATACTGAAGTAAACATTTAAACTGAAGGCAAAAGATATTTAATCCAGGATCACATTTTGTGCCAGTGTTCATTTTTGTGGGGTACATACCAAAGTGTTTGTTTGCAGTCCCTTCCTGGGAAGTTCCTGTTCAGTGGACAGTTTTCTGAAGTTGTTGTGCCATGTAATATTTTTGTGCAAGTCTAAGTGCCTGTCTCTTTTAGAGCACTACTACCTCACGTTGATGTTAACAAAAGTCAGACCCAGCAAATTATTTTATTACCATTGCCTGTCTGCTATGGGGCTCAATTTCTCTTAAGAAATTACTCAACTGAAATTCTGGAAAAATAAAATGTTTAAACAAATAATAAGATTACCATCCCAAAATAGGACCTGGATATATAAGCGAAGCTAGAAGGAACACGCAGACAGCATGGAAGGAGGGTGATAAGGGAATGGAGATTCCCCTCTTGCCATGCTATGGAAAAGTCATTGTAGCTTATGTAAAAATTATGATGTTGGTGAGGGTAGTAATACTCAGAATAGGATACACTTTCCATTCTGTAATTTATTGAAAACAATATTGAGAGTCACACTGACCATGGTTTGTGCCTTTTTAATTTTTTTAATTTTTGGAATTTGTTGAAATTGGCTTTTTTTAAAAGAAATTTTTTTGGCTGTGCCAGATCTTCCTTGCTGTGCAAGCTTTTCTCTAGTTGCAGCAAGTGGGGGCTACTCTCTGTTGGACCATGTAGGCTTCTCATTGTGGTGGCTTCTGTTGTTGCATAGGATAGGCTCTAGGGCAAGTTGGCTCCAGTAATTGTGACTTGTGGGTTTGGAATTTCTGCTCCCTGGCTCTAGAGCACAGGCTCAGTAGTGGTACATGGGCTTAGTTGCTCCATGGCATGTGGAATCTTCCTGGATCAGGGATCGAACCCATATTCCCTGCATTGGCAGGCAGATTCTTTACCACTGAGCCACCAAGGAAGTCCAATTTGTGCCTTTTGATTTTTATTTACATTTAATATTTATAAATTTGTATGAAGTTTAATGTTTATCTGTTGGTTTCACTCAAGTTGATATTCTCATTCATATCAAGACTGTAGAAGGCAATAATCTCATTGGCTTCAATTCTTAGAATCCTAAGATGGTTGGCCTTGGACTTGGTCCAGTTGAAGCCCTGTGTTTTAAATTGGTATAAATGGAGGCTTTGTGTGGTTAAGCCATTTGGTCAAAGTCACAGAACTGGAACTGGAACTCAGCTTCTAGAGCTAAGTTGAGTTAAATATCCTTTCTATTGTAGCTTGCTGTCACTTTGTTTTGGACCTAAATTTTTCCTGTGAAATGTGATTTGAAACTTAAATTTATGCTCCAGCAACTGCAGATTTCATGGGTCACAGATAAACAGTTAATAGCATCGAGGAAAAGGCATATTGTATAAACTTACAGCTTTTTAATAGCAAGAGATGAAAGCGGGGTTGCAGGAAGACTAGGGGATATGGAGAGGAGAGAAGAATCTCTGCCAAATATTTGCAGGTGTTGGAACTATAATAAGGCATTGGCCTTGAGAAATATTCCAAACAGAAAATTCTGTATCCATATGTACCATTGAGATAACAAAAGACTGGATAGACCAAGCCTGTATCTACAGAACACCAGCTTTTTGAAAACATCCGAAAACATGAAAACATTGGATGATTGATTAGATATTTGGCATCATGCAGCTACAGTCCTTGTCTCCAGGGATAGGTGTAAAACAAAAGTATTTTACCAAAAGATACTTTACTCTGTAACTAATCAGTAATTTGGGGAGTTAGGAAAGATCACATTTTGAATTGTTCCCCTTTAAATTTTTAGGAAATATGCAGAAAATTCAGATTATAAATTAAGTGGAAACTTTTTTGCTCATTTTTGGACAGAGAGTGGAAACATATGAATCATTCCCAACTGTGTGGTTTGTTATGTTGTCTGGAACAACTTGGACTTTGAGGAGGGAGAGAGAAGTCCTGCTTGTATGAGAGGGGGATGGGTGGGGTAGGGGTCACTTGGGTTTGGTGCCAAGAATAAAAGGATATTAATTCTCCACATTAAGCTGAGAGGAAGTCTGACATTTACGGTCACATAAGCCTCACTTCTTTGAGTTAATTTTAATTTAGAAAAGCATTTAGGATTATCCCCTTTATCTGCTTGATTCTTCCTGAAGGAGAAAGGAGAGAGGTAGCTGTCAGAAGCTATATGGTAGATGGCCTTGAGTGGACTCCCCTGGCTCTCAGAGAAGCACAGGAGTCCTACCCGAGGAGGGAAAAGGTTTTACTTCCTGGTCAGTGACCGATGCAGTGTTTATTTGTACTTTTTCTCTGGAGATTCACTGGTGGCATTTCTAACTACTCTTTTTGCACTAACCTTCCTGATTAGGATTAGTGGTCTCAAATATTTATATGTTCAATAAAGAATAAACAGATCATGACATTTTAGATGAAAGGTCAGAAGAACCAGAAGCTAGCCTGGCTTCTTAACATGTACTCAAAATGGGTTAGAGGATTTGGGATACTTAGTATCATTTATTATCTTTATCTAATTGTCCTGTCTATCTAAATATCCTTCAGAAGGCTACCAGTGGTTTAATTAATTCTTTGATTTGACAGAGTAATTGTGTTCATGACAGTCATTACAGTTTAAGGCCTATCAGAGTAACTATCTTCTCTATTCTCTTTTCATCTACTATTCCATATATATGAGCTTATGATATATGTTGCATTTCTATAAAAATGCTTCATATTTTAGAGTTTTCATTGTCACATGAGTTCTTCCCCTTAGAAAAATTGATATTATTGCATTAATAAATGTTGGCTTTATAAAAGAGGTCAAATTTGGGTGACTCTCTACTGGGGACAGAACTCAACTGAATATTCCAAGTCCTGTACAACTTGGGTCTCATGCTTGCTCACCTGTCTTTTCCTCCTGCCACTCTCAAGCATGTTACCTTCACCATCCAGTATAACCTTCTGACTGTCTGCTAAACATGCCACTCTTTTCTGACTCTTAACATTCACTCATACTGTTCTTTTGGCCTGCTTAGGAATCCTACCCACTATTTAGTGCTCTATTGAAATCCCATAAGGCCACTCCAACACACCCCAGTGATACCATAAATTCTTTGAGGCCAGGCACAATGTCTTTTTGGAGCACACAAGGACAACCCACTCCAGCATTCTTGCCTGGAGAATCCCACGGACAGAAGAGCCTGGCGGGCTACAGTCCATAGGAGTTGGACACGACTAAAGTGACTGAGCATGCATGCACAGTGTCTTTTATTTCTCCAAAGTCTTCCTTTGTGTCTAGCACACATAGTATAGGCTCAAGAAATCCATATTGCCATCCTTAACAGTTAATAAGTCTAGGGGAAAAAATCTCCTGTGAACTACTGATAATGATAAAAACCAGAGTGTTAGAAAAAGTGTGACATGTCCTTAATTTCAGGTGCCTATCCATTTTGACTGCTGGATTTTCTAACTGCCTAACCCTAAGCATCTGTATAAATCAGATGTGATTATTGTAATTCTCTTTGAGAGTAATGTCTTCACATTTTCATGCCCACAGCCTGCCAAAAATATAGCTGATGAAAACCAGGGGGAATAGAGGAATTTCCTGAAAGGAATAAACAAGTACATTTTCTTTTTCATATTATATTTCCACAAATTCATTACTACAAATAATTCTTAAATGAAGTTACATTTACCTATCATGGATCTTGTTGTTATAAAATATTACCTGGCACTAGAGTAAGATTTTTGCTATAGAAAGTAAAAGTTCCTCCCCTGCACTCCCCCCTCAACACACACACACATAAACAGAGACTGAGACAGAGAGAGCTAAAGATTGCCAGACAAAGAGAAGGGAGATATGAGACTTGGAGAATGTTCAAAAGAAAACCACAGTGAGAGTTAAAAGGTTGGAAAATATGATATTCTAGAATCTTATCATATGTGGGTTGCTTGTCCTTCTTCCTACTCATTCACTCTCTCATCTACCCACCCATTCTCACTCAGCCACTACCTTCTCCCAGTTGGTTGTCTACTCATCCACTTGACACCAACTGCTGTCTGCCTAAACAGATACCCTCTCAGCTTATCTACCAATGGATGTTTGTTTCTGAACCAGTATGAATATCAGAGAAATAAGGAGAAATATCTTTATGAGAGACTGTGTTGAGAGAGGGCATATTTGCATACATCTGTATATGTCACTATACACAAGTGTGTGTATCTCTGCATGGGTGGGTGGCTGAGAATTTAATCTGTGTGTGTCTGTGTATCTATAAATGTGTGTCACTGTGTGAAGAGGAGAGAGTGCCT